GGGGGGGAGCGGGAACAAAACCAACCCGGGGGTTGGCCGGCTTTTTCGGAGCCGTCGGGGCAGGTTTCTCGCCCGCGGATTTGGCCGGCGTCCGCTGACTGGTATGAACCCTCTGTCTCCGTATTTAAATGTGGATCCACGATATCTCATTCAGGATAGAGATGAGTTTATCTTATCAATGGAGCTAATAAAACCGGGCCAGATTTGACCTGGCCTTCTTTGCCATTGGCGGATGTTGTATCACGGGGGCTGCATTTGGAGCAATGAACGGTCTACGGCTAGGATTGAAGGAAACCCAGTACATGTCCTGGTCCAAACCAAGAAGCGTACAGATGTTGAACATGGTGACTAGGCAAGGGGCACTTTGGGCTAATACTCTAGGTTCTCCAGCTTTGCTCTATGGTGCATTTGGTGTCATCACTGAGAAAACACGAGGTGCAGAAGATGACCTTAACACGATAGCAGCTAGAACCACGACAGGCATGTTGTATCAATGTCCAGGTGGTCGTCGAGGGGTAGCACGAGGTGGTCTAGCAGGACTAACGCTTACCAGCCTCTATGCACTATATAATAACTGCGAGCACGTGAAAGGCTCCTGACTCCAACAGTCGCTCTGAGGATTTTGCCACCTTAGGAGTGGAGGACACTTTAGTAGTCATCCAGATTAATTTATATGTCAGTCTAGAGTTACTCTTTCTTCCTACAATTAGTTTGAAAAATTGGAGATTCCAGTTTGCTGTGGTGAAGATCATGAATGGTTGACCAGGACTGGCATTCCTTCTAGCCGGAGTGGAAGCCAGAACCTTCTGGTGGCTGAGTAATGTGGTTCTCCCCTACTCCCTGAACTGGAAAACTACTTACTCACAGAATTCAGGTCATGATTGTTGTCAGTAAGGTATCCCCACATTTGTTTACTTAATGATCTGAAGCTGTAAGTTGCCTTGTATTCCCAATAAAAGGTGAAAATAGAAGAAAAAAAAGAAAAAAGAAAACCTTGTCCCTTAGTACATTTGGAAGAGATAAAATCATGACATTATTTTCAACCTAAAAATACAGAACCCCAAGTTATTGCAAATTTTGTGTTACTAACATGCTCCACTTTCTATTTTATAAAAACTATCTGGTTGTACTGCAATTGGTTTACATTATAGTATCTTATGGCCTTGAACCACAATTACTACTTTTAGAACATAATTTAGCAATATTATTATATTAAAATTCAATATCTTTACAGGTACAATCGATTTAGTATGCATGATTTAATAATTTATATAATTAGAATAACTTCATTTATGTTGTTAGGAGTGCTATCCAGACACTTCGCTATAATATAGTGTGTTCAAAGTACTGATTTATGACTTCTGAGTGGTTTGTCCAAATTAATGTGAAATTTGCACTGGGTCATTAATTTTTTTCTGTTACTTGGTAACCAAAAAAAAAAAATGTTTTAATATTGTACATCATAAATCATTCACTTTCTAATAATAATAAAAAAAAAACCCTAAACTCTTTGTGGCTCCAAATACAGCAGTTGTGATCTTCATGAGGTTTGAGTGTCAGTGGAGAGAGCTGAACAAAAAACAAAGCCAAGGCTAGCCAGGAAAGCAAGCGTGAGTTTTCCAGACAGATTTTTAAGAGGTATTTTGTTTCCCAGAGGAAGAAAAGTGTGTCAGCCGGAAATGGGACGCTTTCAGGGATTAAGAATAAAAAGAAACTAGGCAGAGAACTCCTACAAGAGTGAAAAAGGATAGAGAGTAAATGATTATTAGTAACACAACATAAAGCTCTTGGCTGTTCTATTTTGCTTGGCTCCTCACGCTTCCTATCCAGGAATGTCTCCAGCTGGGCTCTATTTACTAAAATAAAACAGTTGTTCAGCGAAATTATGCCAATACCCTGGGGCGGGGGTGGGATCATTATAACTGTATCTGTCCAGTGCAAGGTACTGTGAGGACTACAATTTATGATTTAATCTTTAGAGTAGTCTCCATAGCCTCATGTGAGATAGAATTTTGACAGCTCAAACCCTCTTTCTCAAAATAATCCAAACAATCCAGGAACCAAAGTTTTCCCTATTATTCCCTTTGAGGTGCAATTATCATAAAGTCCAGTTTTAGTCCTTGATTAAAAAGTGAAATTGAAGGGAAAAAAAGTGAAATTGGATTGTATATCTAACAATCAGGAAATAGAGCTGAAGGAGAAGCTCCTGGGTAGCGTGGATCCCACTCATGATATAATGATTAGTCTTATGTGTCAATTTGAAAAGGCAATAGTATTGGTTATTTAATTAAACACTAATCTAAGTGTGGCTGTGAAAGAATTTTGTGGATGTGGTTAATTAACATTTGCAATCAGTTAATTTTAAGATTACCCTCAATAACACAGGTGGGCCTCAAACAATCAGTTGAAGGCCTTAAAAGCAAAAAGCTGATTTTTTTTTTCCAGAGAAGAAATGCTGCCACAATGCAGTATAAAATACTGGCAGCGTTTCCGATCTCCTGATATGCCCAATAAATTTCAGACTTGCCGACCACCACAATCATGTGAACCAATTTTTTAAATCTCTCTTTTCTTCTCTCTCTCTGTATGTATGTGTAAATGTATGAGTATACGTATGTGTGCAACCGAGTATTGGTTATGTTTCTCTGGAAAACCAGGACTCATATAAGTAGCTACTTAAAATGTCAAATAATTATATATGGTAACCAGAAAAAAGCAGATGTTCAAAAAAATCACTAAACATCTTCTTTCTTACTTCTATAAGTAAACTAAGCACTATAGATACAAATAACAGCAAAACAGATATAACGTGGTCAGAAAACCTAGTGTACTACTCTCCACACACACGCACATATGTGTGTGTGTGCTGAGTACACAGCCAAATGCTTTGTAAAGCTAGACTCTACTTAATGTTAGTGGTCATTGTGAGCTCTCTGAACACACGTTAATGTCACTAAGTATTTTGGTCAATATAAGGAATAGAGTTGAGAAGAATCAACAGCTGACACGTTTTGACAGGACTGGAGAGAAGGATAGTATTGAAGAGATGATAAGGGAGCCGTAGCTAAGACACACAAATAGGTTTTCCATGTATCTTTGACAGTAATGAATGGTACATAATATCAGTTCCAGGTAAGGAATGCTCAGTACATTCCAAAGAATGGAGAAGTCAGAGAAGCATGGAAATATTTGGGATTACTAAGTGTCATAAAAGCAAGATGATAGAATAAAGAACACACAGAGTATATTATCATTGAACTGTTTTATTTTCATTTTCAAAAAGCTATTAGCTTTTACCTTTACATTTAAACAACAATCTTAGTCTTGAAAGGCACCTAATGAAGTCATGTTTTCTATTATTGTGCCTTCAGATAAGTTTTCACCTAGATAGAATCTCTTTATTTTATTCCGGCTATAAAGAGCAAAAGACATTCACATGTTTCTTTGGTTCCTTCTGTCTGTGTTTAATATTCTCATCTTGTCAAGATTGTATTTCAGTGGTTTTCATAGTGTAGTCAGTGGATTCCTGTGTGTCTCTGAGATACATTCAGGGATCCATAAGGTCAAAACTGTTTTCATCACAATACTAAAACGTTATTGCCTTTTTTCCCACTGGTTGTACTGATGGTGGAAAATGAATTGGTGAGGAAAAAGCATGAATTGAAATTATGTTACTAAACTATAGTAGTCCTTTTATTTTTTACTTCTACACACTCACATGAAAACACGTGTTACTTAGGAATGTCCTGATGAAGCAGTAAAACATTAATTATACTAAATCTCTATCACTGCCTATGTGCTTTTTAAAATTTTTTGTAATGAAATGGAAAGTACATATAAAGTGTTGCCGTCATGTACTAAAATGTAAGAGTTGTCTTGAGGAAAAGCACCTCTGCAATTGAGTTGCTAGCTGAACTAGCTGCTTCTTTTGTAATGGTAAATCATTCTTACTTGAAAGAATGACCAGCAATCAATGGTTATTCAGACTGGGGTATTTGGCAGACTTTTCTCCCAAAAAACAAAGTAAGCCTGTCATTTTAAGGAAAGCAACTGACAGAATTTATGGCTAATGATAGAATTTGATCTTTTAAGTGTAAGAGTTTGCCACTCTGAGACTTGCTAATACTTAAATTATTTTCTGGTAAAATGTGTAGTGGTATCAACAAAAGTAATTTTCCACATTCCATAGTAAAATGTGACAACATTTGGAAGATATGCATAACAATGAACCTTTGCTTTCCAAATGATCAGTGATGATGTAACAAAATCAACCCAGAGTAAATTATGCAGTGAGAGTGCAAGAAAGACCACAGGATTTATTATAATACTCCCTTGATATGATACACGAGACTCTACTATAACTTGTTGGTATGATATCAAATAAGAAATATTCACAGTTATCTGAAAAGGCTATTGATATATTTCTCACTTTTTCAATGATATTCAAGTACCCTGTCAATCTTTTTCCAACAATATAAGTCTTTTTCAACTACATATTTCTTCATTAACTTCAACCAACACAACAGAGTCACATATTGAATGTAGACAGAGCTATGACAAGCCAGATATCTTCTAAAAGCTAAACAGTAAAGAAATTTGAAAAAAATACAAAACAATTCCAGTGTCTTTACTATTTGTTTCTGTTTTCCAAAATAGTTGTATTATAAAAATATTATTTATGTTACTATATCATAGGTTTATTGTGTCACTTTAAATGAATTAAGAAATATATTTAAAATTATTGTTTTAATATTTAATATGGTTAATATAAGTAGAGAGTACCAAAAACAAAACAAAACAAAAAGAGCTCTTCAAAGCAGTAAAAATTAATTGTATTAAAGCTCCACCACTCTGTATATGTCTTTTCAAAATGCTATGTGATGAAATAGCACCTATAAAACACTTCTAATAGCACCTATAAAACACTTCTGTTATGTGCTAAGCAATAATTTTGAGGTTCTAATTGGATCCTGAGACCAATAAGTTTGAAAATATCCCATGACAGATTATTTTTTCAAAGGACATAGATTTGTGCTGGTTTCCATGTTAGTGTCAATATTTATATATAGGAATCCCTTGCTCTCCAAATGCTACCTGGTTAAATTTGCATAAATTCCAAAATCCCTTGCTATCTACATTGTTCCTATTTCTTACCTAAAACTCAAAATTCAGATATATTTGGATGACAAAGTCATCTTATCTCTCCATACTCAGTCTTCAAATCCTCTTCAATCCCTTCAAATCTTCTTCTCTCGAACTATCTTCCTCCCATTGCAGCTTTTACATCTATCTTTGGGACTGATCTGTTCCCCATGGCCCTGGCACTCCATGCACACAGACTGAATTTGCTGAACCAGTCCAGGTCCTATCTGATGAATTCTTATTTGCATTCCAGTACCTCGGCAATTGGGACAACATTCGACTGCTCCTTTCTTACCACCTCGGCCTTCACATTTATCGCAAATCACATTCTTTTGCAGAGCTAGTTTTAGTGTTGCACCATTATATAAATCTTCTAAGGTTACTGAGAGCAGTACTGAGATATAAAGAACAAAACAGATTGGTGATTAAAAGTAGTTGTGTCGCGGGGCACCTGGGT